TGTCTATAATGCTAATTGGCTACCCAATTGACATTGCGTATTCGACCTAAACTCTGTTGCAAAGATGATCATTGCTTCCGCTTGATTTTCTTAGATTTTGGTTGGGATATTGACAAATTATCCTGATATGGCGAGGCCATCTCGGCTTACATAAACCTTTGTTCAAGCATGTCTGATGCAGAACATGGTCAGCCTTTACAAGCTGCAGCCTCTTCAATGTCGAATGCTCAATGGATTAAATTGCGATTTTTTTATCGGCTGAGTCCAGCTCGTTATTTAAGGATGATGTGTTGTTCTAAGTAAATACTCAATACCAAAATTCGCTTACAAAGTTAAACGTCATCTATATATCTGAGATTAAATGTATTTTTATTTGAAAAGAATCCTTGAGTATTGTGTCACTAATTAAGGACAATGCTATAAGTACTGAATTTTTTTACCGAATCTTTTATCTACTATTCACACCAAGGGGGAGCACATGTTGGCATTTTTAAATTCACGCGAGGCCCACATGCATTGTGAAAGGGGGACACTATTCGGTACATATGGAATAATCCCACTAATTAATTATGTCACATTTCGCAAAATTAGAAATCAGTTGTTGCGTGATAATTAATATTATTATTTAGCTAAATTTTCATGATACCAAAAGAATTATTTTTCTACCTCTACTGGTATTTTTGGAAATACTTTAATGTATTAAAAAATTTATTTTAATATAAGGAGTTATGAAGAGTCAGAATGTTGATTTAAGACAGAATTTAATTGGACGCGGAAAATATTTCACTGATCGACAATTTATGTGGAGAATAAACAATTTTTTAGCTTCCATTTGTTTTTCTCCACATAAATAGTACTTAGCATTGTTTCATGTAGTTTAGGGAATTAAAGAACATATAATAATCCTTAATAATGCATATATAAACAAATGCAAACGACATTTATCTCTTAAATATTCACGGTTTTAAGAGAAAACAATGATCCATTTTTAAAATAGATATGGAAGAACTTTATAAAAATATTTAGCCCTTTTTTTGATAGCGATTAAAATTAGATTTTTAATAGATTTTGATAAAAAAAAAAATTTAAAATTTGTGGTTGAAAAATTGTGGGACCCATAAAATGTGAACTTAATATTGATTTATTGACTTTAATTTAAATTAAAATTTGATTTAAATCAATACCAAACAAGGACTTAATTTATTTTACATTTTAATCAAGTCCACTTTTATATTCTAACTTCATTCAATCCACCATCTCCTGATTCCTCAAGTCTAACCTCCTAATGGAGAAATTGGGTATAAGAGCGCAAAAGAAACCCAAGAAGAAGGCTAATGAATTTGAGACCAAGACAATAGGAAATTTGTAGGGAATGGTTTTAATTAGTGAATTAGGCCCACTTTGAGCTCCAATTTTAATGAGATTCGTACTTCAATTGGGACAGATCGAATTAACATTCTACTCTATGAGGTGATTGTACATTTATTTAATGAACACTATTTAGAATTGAATTAAATATTTGACGTCAAAGTAACTCACTTAAAACTATAAACTAGTAAAAAATTTAATTTATTAAAAATTGCTAAACACTTATTACACACAAAAAAGTAAGGAAACTTTAGCGTAGTTTATATGGTTGAAGTTTGGCAATTGGGTTTGGACCTCAATTGTACCAATAGTTTTTGGAATGCGTGAGACCTATTCTATTGGGTTTGGTCCTAAACCCACCATCATCCGTCCAGTCGGCCCAACACGAACACTTGGCCAAGCCAAATTCATTTTCGGGTACGGGTTGGTCCTGTACTGTATTATCTTTTTAGACAAAATTTATTTAAATTTTGGGTCAAATTGTAAATAATCAAATTTTTGGGCGCTTAATGGAATTAATTTTAAAGGGTAATTTTTTTTATTTCTTACCGTTGGCTTTTTCTTGGGTATTTTCTAGTCTAGGTTGACTGTTAGCTAATTTAATAGATGTTAGTTAACCGACTCAATGGAAGCAACGTTTCATTCTAAACAATGCTATCCGTTTTGGGTTTAGATGTTGTCTAAATAGTGCTGAATATTATGAAAATGTTTGAAGGATGTTTGAATGGTTACAAACGAATCTGTAAATAGCCTGCTCTGCTACTAGAATAATTACACAATTTTTATTGCAAACTTTCTCTGCTTTAAGTCTCATTCTAATATTGTTCTCGAAGTAAAAGCACTTTATTGAAATCGTTGGAACTCCTGCAGATTGTTGTTTACTTCCATAAGAGACAAAATTCGTTTTATTCTACGAAACAATTGATGCACGCTTTTAGCACCTTTGAAGGTAGAAAAATCGTTTTAAGGAAATATCGCGAAGTCGATGGGCTCGAATTAACATTCTGATCATATTGATTATTACATTACGCTGTTTAAATGACAACACGGTAATTCTGCCAGTACATTATTTTCAGATTGTTCGAATGAGGAACTTATAATCCAAAAATAACAATTTTAAAACAAATTTTCATTTATTCTGGTTTATTTTATTTCTACTCCTTCTTACCGTTTATCTTCTGATTATGTTTCAAAAATGACAACTTCTAATACTACACTTTCTAATACGATCGGAGAAAAACTAGAGAAATTTAATGGATCAGATTTTAAGCATTGGCAATAGAAAACGCTTTTTGATCTAAAAACATTAAGTTTGCAAAAATTCCTCAAAGAAGATTCACCTTTATATATCGAGGAGGAAAGTGATGTTGAGATATTGGCTGCTGTTGATGCATGGATGCATTCAGATTTTCTATGTAATAATTATGTATTCAATGGATTGGACAACACACTATATAATGTGTACTGTAATACAAAGTGCATGAACGAACTATGGGAATCTTTGGATACCATGTATAGAATTAAAGATGTTGGCACAAAATAATTCATTGTCACTTGATTTTTGGATTACAAAATAGTTTAAGTGGAGTATAGCATATTACTCTTTATGGAGATCACCTATGTGGGTGAAAAGGGGCGACTTCTACACGAGTTATGTGAAGATATATTCTCTAAAAATCACTTATGAACCAGTTGGTGTCCAGTGCCAAAATGGACACAAGTGAAAACCAATTGTTTTCCAAGGGAACTATGTGACTTCTATTATTGAGGTTTACTTGAATAGCTGACTATTCAAAGCATCTTGCTACTAATTGGCCAATTAAATCCAATAAATTTATTATGGAAATTTTAAAGTCTGTAGTTAGTTATTGCGATGCAATTTTTCTCCATTTATACTTCAAAATACCTATCAGATATTGGTGTTTGGAAAAACTCGACATATTTCATTCATGGAGGAGATTGTTAGAAATGATTTTAATTGTGAATTGAGTCAAATTTGAACTCTAATTTTAGTCGGACTCGTACTTCGATTTTAATGTGACCAAGCATATTCACGTTCTACTCAACAAAGTGATTGACGTAATATGTTGAAATCCATTTAGAATTGAATGAAATACTTGATAACGAAATAACCCACTTGAAACTATAGACCAGTAAAGAATTTGATTTATTGGAAATTACTACACGCTTATTACACACAAGAAAGTTAGAAAACTTTGATGTAGTTTATATAGTGGAAGTTTGGTAATTGGGTTTGGGCCCTAAGGAGTACAAATGATCTTTTGAATGAGAGAGACCTATATCATATTGGATTTGGTCCGAAACTCACACGTGCGCTCCACCCCACCGTCTATATCGCCATCCGACCAATCGGCTCCACTCAGCATGGCACAAGACGTGCCCAAGCCCAGTTCGTGTTTGGATGCTGGTGGTTCCTTGTACTACATTACCTTTTTGAATAAAAATTATTTAAATTTTAGGTCAAACTGTAAATAATCAAATTCTTTGGTGCTTAATGGAATTAATTTTAAAGGATAGTTTTTTTATTTCTTACCGTTGGCTTTTTCCCGAGTATTTTCTGGTTTGAGTTGACTGTTAACTGATTCAATAGAGGTCTGTTAACTGACTTAACGGATGTAGTGTTTAATTTTGAATGGTGCTGTCTGTTTGGGTTTAGAGGGCTATTTACATATTCGTTCGTGGCCATTCAAACATTCTTCAAGCATTTTAGAGTAGTCATCACTACTAGCACTTTGAATGTAGTAAATTTGTTTTAAGAAAATATCGTGTAATCGGTGGGCTCAAATTAACATTTTGATCATTTTAATCATCTCATTACGTTGTTTAAAATACAATACGATAATTCTGTCAATGTATTATTTTCAGATTGTTCGAATGAGTAACTTATACTTTAGAAATAGCAATTTGTTACTCTCATAAGGATCTTGGACATGAAAAGGTAGATTGCCAAAACATAAAGACGATGTCGAAATTGGGAGAGTAAGAATAGAAAGAGGATAACTAGACATTAACTTGATGGCACTCAAAATTTCATGAGAGACCTTGTATGACACTACAAGCAATGGACACGAGTGTTGACGGATTTTTTTTTTACCGAACTGATGACCTCCACGGAGTTGTGACCCCTTGTGATGACGACATGTCAATACGGCAACGGTGACCAATTTAGTAGTATAATCACCTTACAAGTGATAAATACTAGATTCATCTCATTACAAAGGACCATAATAATAAAATTTTTAGTGGTTAAATCTCCCTAAACAAATAACTTGTCTTTGGACTACCCTTATCGGACACTACATGTTGTCTTTAATCGTGTGAGATCTATATCTATTCGTCATTGAAATTTTTTCGTAATAAAAAAGAGATATTGCTAGATTTTTTGGGTTCCACAGACGAATGTTTATAGTAATTCACTCTCAATTTGAAAATTAGCCCACATGTCGAATGGGATTACAACTTCGCAAGGTTTTCTTCCTCACACCTCTCATGTTTAATTTGAAGAAAAAACTGCCTCCTCGATCTCCTTCATGTAAGAAACTAGGATGACCTAATATAGGAATATAAATATCCATTATATCCCTAAAATAAAAGAAAAACCATCTCGGCCGTCCAAGAGTATAAGTGAATAGTATAATTACAGCCCATTACCATTCGTCAGAGAAAACGGATTGCTTCCACATAAACATTGTATTCATCGAAATAATGTCAAGACATACATTTTCTTCCTATGGATATCCGAACTTCATTGTTTTTACTGGCAAAACAGAAAGGAAAGAACACAAACTTGGGAATTTCATCTGCTACCTAAACCAGGAAGTCATTTCATTCTCAGCCTGTCGATGCCGAGTCCTCCGATTCCACGTTCAAAATCAGCCCCCGATATCAACAGTCCTCCCTCTCCCTCCAACCCCTACATACCTTCGACCAAGTCCATGCGCTCTTCTCGCTCAGCCGGCTCACCAATCACTGCCTTCCAAAAGAAACTCGGTGACTACATTGGAAGAAAGAAGAACTCAGACCTAACTGCACAGAAGCTCGAAGAGTTCAATAAAAGACTAGAGGCAAGATATTCGACCAGCAGTCCTTATTACAAGGGACTAACAGACTTTTCCCTGGTAATCAACAGAGAAAAATACTCAGGGTCGAGTCCTGGAAGAGAGAGTAATGCAACAAGTTTCATCAGTACTGGTTCCAAATCCAGTTTTGCCATCAAGGTGCAAGAATGGGGTTCGTCTTGCTTTACCTCCAGAAAGCTCGATAAAACATCATCATCATCTGGTTCTTCTTCGACCAAGAGTTCCCACAACATTCGTGCAGAAAAAATCAGAGAAACAGACACAACGATTACAAAAATTAGAACCAAAACAGCAAAAGATGAATCAGACTCTGACAGGAAAAAAGTTACCTTTCATTCCATCAACAGCAACGATGATACAATCACTTCATCAAACAAGGAGAAGTCATTGAGGGAGAGAGATTCAGAAAAACCACATACACCGGCGCTATCATATACAGTGTCATTACCATATTCGCCACCACAACAAATTCCTCTACAAGCAGAGTCCTTGCCAGATCCAATTCCATTACCAGATGTGCTCCTACCTGGACAAACACCAATTTTACTCCCACCTTCAGCAGTAGCTCAGGTTACTGATGCTGAAATGGATTTCTTAAATAAGAAGGATACAAATACGATAGAAAATGAAAGAAAATATGTATGGGCCAGCAAATATCGGCCTTCTAATCTGCAAGATTTTCTATGCAATCGGGAAACAGCACTCAGGCTGCAGACGATAGTGAGAAATCAGCAAAATAAAGCAGAAGAATGCGGTCATTTCATATTCGAAGGACAACCAGGGGTGGGAAAGAGAACCATGATCTGGGCTGCTCTAAAAGAAGCCTTTGGAGCCGACGAAATACAGGTACAATCGAACTATTAAGTATATATCTTCAGCAGAGGATGAAATTAGTACTCTTGTTTACCTCAAGTCCTTAAATTACAAAGACTAAATGCACATATATATTTATTACAAACTAAATCCAAGAAAACATAGATGAAATCATAGAATCGCAGATTACATCATAAACCCTAAATCACAACATCAAGGCTTAGATCTTTCAATCGAAGGCTCAGACCACACCCATTTACCATCACAGAGGCACCGAGACTCAAAACGAACCCTCACAACCCAACACACCAAGGTCACTTCACTGGACTCAAGAAATCAAACTGCCTACCTTCGGTTGATCACTCACACAAAGGAGAATCACACAAGAACACGATTATCACAAAGATAATCAACCAGAAACCTCACAAAGAGAAGAAGGAAGGATCACACAGACAAAAGGAACTCGAAGGTTCCAAACGGCAGAGAGAAAGAAGAAAAACAGAAAGTGACGATCCAAGAGCCAAGCAGGGAGTAAGGAGGATATTTATAGTAAATATCATCAACCGTTGATCAGCGGGTCAATCCAACGGTCCAAGAGCGACTAATGGTGTGTGGGCTGGATATTGGGCTCGGTTAAGTGGGCCTTCTAGGTATATATTTAATGGACCAAGTAATAAATCCAATTTGGGCCTTTTCATCATTGCCTAACAGTTGGACTGGATCAAATGGCATCACAGCCCAACAGATCTCCACCTTGATGCCAGTAATCAAACAAGAAGCCTAATAAATGTAAAACACAATTTAAATGTCCTTCTCTAGAAGACAGCTTCCCAGCATTCTCAACAAGCATCAACTTTAGCACCTGTGCAGAACAAAACACTTAACTAGCATCAATGTTCAAAATTTTAAACAAGACTTAAATTTGTTTAAAGGAATTACCTTAGTACCTACATCAGCTGGATTATACTGAGTTGCAATTTTCTCAAGTAATATAAGTTCTTTAGAAACAACATCTCTAATAAAATGCAACTTAACATCAATATGTTTTGTTCTTTCATGAAAAACAGGGTTTTTACATAGGTGAATTGCATTTTGACTATCAGAATACAAGACAACAGGGTTACTCAATTCATTAATTTCAGATAATAAGCCCTTAAGCCATAATGCTTCTTTTATTGCTTCAGTTGCAGCAACATACTCAGCTTCAGTAGTAGATAAAGCAACAATAGGTTGAAGTTGAGATTTCCAACTAATGCATGTATTACACAAAGTAAACATATAAGAAGTAGTAGATTTCCTATTGTCTCTATCTCCGGCAAAATCTGAATCTACAAAACCCTTAAGTACAACACCTTCATTACAAGCACTAAAGATCAAACCAACATGTGAAGATCCTTTCAAGTATCTCAACAGCCATTTTAGAGCACCCCAATGGTCTGGTCCTGGATTAGCGATAAATCTACTAAGTGAGCTAATGGAATGAGCTACATCAGGTCTAGTACATACCATAGTGTATATGACAGAACCTACGGCATTAGCATAAGGTACATTTTCCATTTGCCTAATGTCAGATTTACTTACAGGACATTGCTCTTTACTAAACTTAAAATGGCTGGCCAATGGAAGTGAAACAGATTTAGAATTATGCATGGCAAACTTAGTCAACATCTTTTCAATATATGCAGTTTGCTTCAAGTACAGTATCCTACTGTGCCTTTTCCTCGTGATTTCCATACCTAAGATTCTCTTTGCATGTCCTAGGTCTTTCATTTCAAATTCAGCATTTAAAGACCGTTTTATCTGATTAATAGCATGCATATTCTGACCAATTAGCAACATATCATCCACATAAAGAAGTATAAATGCAACAATAGCATTTTCATCATTTCTTTTAAAATAAAGACAATGGTCATATTCACTTCTTATGAAACCAATAGTAGATACAAAATTATCAAACCTTTTGTACCATTGTCGTGGAGATTGCTTTAAACCATATAATGATCTTTTTAATAGACACACATGATCAGATTTAGTTTCATCAATAAAACCAGGTGGCTATCTCATATAAATCACTTCATCTAGGTCACCATGCAAGAAAGCAGTTTTCACATCCATTTGTTCAAGTTCAAAATCACAATGAGTAACAAGGGCAAGCATAACTCTAATTGTTGTATACTTTATCACAGGTGAAAATATCTCATTATAATCTATGCCCTCTTTTTGCGTAAATCATTTTGCTACAAGTCTAGACTTAAATCTTATGGGCACCTTTTCAGTATTTCCCTCCTTAACACTAAAGATCCATTTGCAATCAACAAGGGTCTTACCTGCAGGTTTTGGAACTAAAATCCAAGTCTCATTTTTCATTAAGGAGTCCATTTCATCTATCATAGCAGCATGCCAGTTCTCAGACTGCTTGCAGCTCATTGCCTCTTCATAAGATTTTGGTTCTTTAAACACTAAGTCATGATAGGACAAGACAGCAAGTGAAAGGTAATCTCCATACCTAACAGGCTCTCTTACTTCTCTCCTAGTCCTATCTCTAGTTAATTGGTAATCTCCCAATTCATCAGGCTGACTTTCCAGATTTTCTTGAACATTTTCCTCTTCATTTTCTTGAGGATCAGAAGCTATTTCAGCTTCTTCATCTACCTGTTCATCACTAACAGGTTCAGTAGGTAAACCAAGCTCCACCTGCCGCTTGGTACCATCACCTCTTTCATCACCAGGTACCCCTTTTGGTTCTTTATTATCTAAACAAGGCATCTTTAACTCATCAAAGGTAACATCTCTACTGGTGATGATTCTAAAACCTTTTAGCTTCACCCCATAACACCTTAGGGACACCTGAGCCTATCAACATGTACCTAACCTTATCTAGCAAGGTTCTATTCATCCTCTCAGCCACTCCATTCTGGTGAGGAGTATAAGGTACAGTTTTATGCCTTTTAATACCAGATTCTTTGCACAACTGATCAAATTCAGCATTGCAAAACTCAAAAACACATTTCTGGGCTCTAGGTTCAAGTTTTCCTATACTTTGATGGGAATAGGCAGCACAACCAAAGATTCTTAAATGTGAATAGTCAGGAACATGTCCTGTCCATAACTCTTCAGGGGTTTTATCTCCTAGAGCACTTGAGGGGGTCCTATTAACAATGTATGAGGCTGTCATTATAGCTTCACCCCATAACACCTTAGGGACACCTGAACCTATCAACATGCACCTAACCTTATCTAGCAAGGTTCTATTCATCCTCTCAGCCACTCCATTCTGCTGAGG